TCCACTTTTGTATCCTCCCCTTCAAGGCTCAGGGGTCCAAGATTATCTTCTGTGTCTGTGTTAATTGGTTTCCCTTTTCTTTGTTGAAAAGCGTCTGTGCAGTCCTTGTGCCTAGTTCGCCATCTTGACGGAACTCTCAACTGTCTTTTTTGCATATTCAGTTTCTCCCATTCTACTAATGCCTTCTTATTGATGACAAGAAGAAAAAGAGGAAGAAGGAGGAGGAGGAAGAAGAAGAGCAGGAGAAGATGAAAAAGAGGAAGAGGAAGAAGCAGATGATTTCCCACCAACATGCTACAAGAGTTATTCTCCTAACTTGCTCTTTCAACAGGGAACATCTTGGAAGAGAAGTCTATACTTGTTAGCTCTCCTTTCTGATGATCCACTTGCACCTTTACTTGCATGTAGCTTTTATCCTTACAATGAAATGACCAATGACAACATTCAATGGTCTCCAAGGTCAGTAGTCCTTTCTCAAATTTTCATCATACATTGCCTTTTCTAGTTTTTGAATCTATCCTGTGATGATAAACATTAGTTGAATAGAAAAATAGTATGTTCTTCTGGGTTTCTTTCCATATCTTCTCTTGTTGCTGCCCTCATTGACCATCTCACAGATTTAACTAATTACCATTTGGTAATTTGCTTTACTCTCCTCTCATCCCTAATATGTGAGCCTCTTCATGCTTTTCTATTTTCATATTCGCTTTTCATAGACTCACACAAATGGGTCACAGGTTTTAATAGTTCTGGTTGCCATGAAAGAAAGAGAATCCCAAGTGATGAAGGCACTTATCTATAGTTACATAGCTAAATTAATGATAATTTCATAACAGAACCCAGGATAAATGGGTTCAGTAACAATGAACAAAGCACCTCCACTGTTGAGGGTAACTGTGGAATAATATACTGAAGAAACCTATAGTTTAGTGGGGAGTAACTCAGGAAACAAAAGTCACAATGGGAACATTACCTCGGATTCAGAAGTGGATGAAATTACATCCATAGAGCAGAGCAAGAATGAACATGTGTTCAACAGGCAGGTATGGGAAAGAAGGGACTTCTGACATAGGAACAGTAGTGAAAAGGGCTCTGTGAAGAAAATTGTGGGGTGTCTTTGGAGAATTGGGCAGGGTCAGTGTCACCCCAAGGGGCTGGGCAAGTAGGGGTGTAGTGCAAATAATGTTATAAAATGCAGAACCTTTCTCATTACACCACTCTGCTTACTCTATGAATATTGCCTCTTCCTTTTCTACCGCCAGTTTCCTGTGGGTAGAGATCCTATTCCATACTTATTTCGTTCGGCCTAAAGGGACTAATCTGGGAGCTCTGGGAGCATAACGCCTAAGGCACTTGACTGCTAACCAGAAGGCTGGCAGTTCAAAACCACCAGCCACTCCTCGGAAGGAAGATGGGGTAATCTACTTCCGCAGTGATACTGTCTCGGGAACTCAAGGAGGGGTCGCTTTGAGTCGGTCCGACTCGAGGGCACACAACAACAACAACAAAAGGGACTAATCTAGGAGCTCTGGTGGCATAGTGCCTGCCTAAGGCATTTGACTGCTAACCAGAAGTTTGAACCGCCAGCCACTCCTGGGAAGGAAGACTGGACAATCGACTTCCGTAGACATACTGCCTAGGAAACCCAAGGAGAGGGGTCACTATGAATCACGTTCAATTGGAGAGCAGTGAGTTTGGTTTTTTTTGGTTTTCACTGTCAGGGATTGTAAATTTGAAAAGAGGCTTTGATTCTGTAGAAAGGTGCCCTGAGATTGGGAGAGAGACAGATGTCAGTCATACCTAAGTAGAATCTCTGATGTGGTGGAAAAAATGAGAAATTGTTCACTACAGATTAGTAAGTAAGCACAAGTAAGCCCGTGCTTACCTTATCAGACACTGCCTGAAAGAGAGAGAAGGAAACTGCGCCTTAAGGTCAACGTGATTCTCGCACCACTTGCTCCTCAGTTGAAGGGAGCGATCCCTCCATTCAGGGGTCGCTGGGAAGAAATGAACGAGGGCCTAAAACTAGAGTTGAAAAGTGTGGAAACGAGGGGAAGGAGAGTAGCGCGCACCGAGGACACGTCCTGCACAAGAGCTCGGGAGCATAGGAAGGCTATCTCAGTCCTTCCGCTGCCTCGGAGGAGACCTTCTGTAAACAGTCTTGGTCTCAGAATTCTTCCTGTTTTTAATGAAACCATTTTCAAAACTCAAAAGAGGGCTGTACCCAAAGGAATCTGGAAAATCCCCAATAGGGCCAGGGAAGTGGCGAATATTTGTATCAGGCAGTCGCAGGCTGACGGACTACCGCAACACGGACAAACAGATCGCCGTCGGCGGCGCTGGGCCGAGATCCTCGAACTAAGGCCGCCCTCTGCCGCTGAGAGATCCCGGGGACGCAGCCCACTCTCCTCACATCGCCCCAGCCTCGCGGCAGCAGGGTCCCTTCGTGGGCAGGGCCGTCGCACTGGAGGCGGGGCAGGGCGTGACGCGCGCCACTCCAGGAGCTCAGACTGGGGCGGGGGAGCGGGGATGGGCTGGAGTGACAGGTTTCTCCGCCCCCTGATTGGGCCTGGGCGGAGCAAGGGGCGGTGCCTCGGGAGGTTCAGCTAGCCGGCATTGGGTGGCGCGGAAGGAGGGCTGTGGTTTTGTGAAGTCAGTTCCGGTTGTTGTAAAACCCCCGGGGCGGCGGCGAACGGGTTTCAGATGCTTCTGGGTCGCGGTCAGAGAAGTGTTAGCAGTCCGCTATCAGTTTGGGAGCCGAGCGCTAGCGCCACCGGCAAGGGGATGGCGGTGACCCAGACCGCGGCCACCGCAGCCATGGGTAGGCTCCTGGTCCTACTGCTGCTCGGGCTCACGGCGCCCGCCGCAGCGTTGGCCGGCTACATCGAGGTAGGGGCTCCGCGCTTTAGGACGCCGGCTCCCTCTTTTGCTCGGAGGAAGCGGCCTGGAGCGGGTGGGTGGAAACAAGGGGAAGGGGAGTAGCGCGCGGGGGCGCGGTGCGGGGAGGGTCCAACGCTGCGGCGATCTGGAGCCCTCCCCCGCCTCTGCTCCCGCTGCTTCCCGCGTGGCGCAGTGCTTAGCACTGGAGGCCCGCGCTTCCGCCGCTGCAGAGGCCAAATGAAAGGCATCGGGGTTGCGGAGAGCCAGAGATGTGATCGTGGTGCGGGCGGGCCTCTCCGTCCTCACTTGTCGCCGCGGCACCGTTGGTCCTCCGGGATCCCCGCGAAGCAGAGGCGCCAACCCCGCCCTCCCCCGGGACAATGCAAGCCTCCCCTCTGCGTGCTCCTGCGGCTCTGCCGGCTGCGGGCGCTGCTGCTGCTTCCTCTGCTGCTCTTGCTGATGGGATCTGCATTCAGACCTTTGTGCGTCTGCCCCTCCCGCAGGGCAGTCCGGTGGGGACCCGGAGCGGGATATCCCTGCTTGGTCATTCCCTACCTCATCGAAAAGCGCGCTCGCCCTCCGGATTGTGGGAGCGCCTTTCTTTAGGATCCCCACCTGAAAGCAGGAAACCCATCCTTTATTGGCAAGGCGGATTTTGCTTTTTGGATGCATAGTTCTTGGTTTTCGCCCTTCTCAAAGTAGCATTGATGCCGGGGAACCAGTAAAGCTTTGGCTACACTGAGAAAGGTCTTGTGTGATGCAGCGGGTATGTCGCGGTACGAGTGGGGTCGCCTCCGTCTTAAATAAAATCACTGCTCCTGGAAGCAGTCCTTTGAGGGGAATTGTTAAATGTAGCTGTTTGTCTAAGTCTAATAAACAAGGGGAAAAAAATACCCAACTCCGTCTGATGTTTGAGTTCATCCCTTTTGTAGTGAGTTTCAGTGAGTAAGGAAGGTACCCGTTAATATGTCGTAAAAACATTTTTTTAAAAGTCATACTTTTCGTGTGTGTCTCAAAATTTAAATAGTTATTCCGCAAATGCGCTAAGTCTGTAAACACCTTTGTGCTGTAAGGTTCGATTAAGTGACGTGAATTTATTTAGCGATTCACGGTAATTCAGGCCAGTGGAACCGGCAAGGTAGTTTTGGGGTCGGAATGGTTGGTTAGTTGACCGGTTTACATAAACTTTTCTGTTACTGAAGGAGACGTGGAACTTTATTTTTACTTGCTTTCTCGAAATATTACTTGAACTGTTGGACTGGAATGTGTGTTTCTGGTATAGTCTCTTATCCTTCTTTACTATTTTTAAAAATTAGAATTGATTTGTGGGTAGTTGGCTAATTTAAAGAGGCGTGAGTCTGGACTTGATTAAATAGATAGTGACTGGCAACTTTCTAATAAAAGAATATGTCCATTTCTACAGAATGTTTTAATAGTTACACATACAAAATAAAAAAAAAAAAAAACAACTTTCTGATGCAATGGCTTAAAACGTTTGGGTTCATCCTGCTTAAAACTTTATGACTCTAGGGGAAAAAAAGGGAAGTTCACTTTTAAATAGAAATAATAATATATATACGATTGGTTTTAATTTACGTATATTTTAGTCTCCAAGCAATGGTTAGACTTGTATCTGTGATCCCCAAGGTAATGTAGGATGAGAACTAGCTAGATCAGTGAGATGAGATTAGGTAGAGGGGGAAAGAAAAATGAAAAGTAATTGATACCGAAGAAGGGATTTAGCCATTGAGCGGGAGTCAAAAACCATCATTCGCACTTTCACCTCACATCCAGTGGTGTAAGCAAAGGCACTAGTTAATTCATAATGAAATATTCATCAGTTTTAAAGAATATCTTCTTCTCAAATTTAAGTAGAATGTTAATAGGCAGGGAAAGAAAGTACAGTTTAGTATCACATAGTTGTGGATTAGATTTGATTGTGAGCCACAACATTGTTCATTTGAAAAGTGTGTCTACACAGAAAATGGAATTAAACATTTCCCGAAAATGATTTTCAAATATTGTTCTTTGATAATTCCTATTCTTTGAACCATATTTTTGCCCACACTTACTAAATTATCTTTCCAGTAATCTTAAAACAAGCTGCTTTTCCTTTTGTCAAGCTGTTGGAATTTTATTCATAACTATATAATTTGATTTTGTTTATTTGTTGTCAGGCAAAGGACTGCCTAAATTTTACCGTAAATCTCTGGGAAGCTCTTCATTGAGATTAGCTAAAGAGATTCTAGCCAAATCCCTGATCAAGTTGCTTGGCAGGATTTTTGATTAGAGAACCTTTAGTGTTGCTTGGTGTTGACTGAGTTAATCTCTTACACCTGTTCAAAAAGAAAAAATAAAAATCCACCACTGTACTCTGGGTCACTTCCTCTTTTAAATCCAAGACAAGCTCTGTTGTGCGTATGCTCCCACTGGAGTGTCTCAAGACAGTATTTGTGCTGAAACCCTGTGGATCCTTGGGCTTTTGAAATTTAGAACTCAAGGTTCATTCTGCCACATTTGAAAGTGAGTGAGCTGTTTGATCGCAATTTTCAGGAAACTCAAATTAATCTCAAATTAAAGCATGACAACTGAGGCAGATGATTGAGAAAGTCTTTGGTGTTGGTGACTTTGCAGGGTGGTAATAGGAAATGTCTGATTATGACATGGACAGATATCTTGGTAATTCTTCTGATAGAAGTATTAGTCATTATGACAACTATGTTAAAAATCTTGATAAATGTGATAAGCTGCCCTCCTTTTGGAGAGGGCTGTCCAATATAGTAGCCACTAACCACATGTGGTTGTTGAGCTTGAAATATGACTAGTATAACTCATTTAATTTCAGTTAATTCATTTATGAATTTGAAAACTGATACCCAATTCAATGATCAGGAAACTTTTAACTGTTTAGAACTTGATTATGTGAATTTACTTTTTCTAAACTGTAGATTTTATAAAATTTAAATGCAAGTCAAATATATCCTACAAAAATTTAGCATCCAGATTGAGATCACTTTGAGTGGGAAAAATTTGTTAGTGCCCCCCTCCTTTTTTAAAAAAATTTTGGTGAATAGACAGTGCTGATTTAAAGCCTTGGCTTTCAGTTGTTACTGTATGAGTGTTTTCATTAGCATAATTTTTGAAATTTGCTAATTTTCCGCCTAGGAAAGCCTTGCTTGAAGTTGGTCCTACATGATCTAGAGTGTTTTTATTAAGACAATACTGAAAGCTAATTTTTCAGTTTTTTTAAAAAACCTCTTCTTTGAAATAATTTAAAAATTACAAAAAATTGCAAGAATTTTACAGAGCACTCCTAAACATTTTCTCTAGATTTACCAATTGTTACATTCTCCTTGTTCAGCTTTTGCTTTTTCTGTTATTCTACCTTTTGCTAAGCTATTGTGTGTAAATTGCATACATCATGCTCCTTTATGGCTGAAAGCTTCATTGTGTGTTTCCTACTATTCAGGGGCATTCTGTTACCAAAAAAAAAAAAAAAAAAAAACCTCACTGCCATCAAGTGGATTCTGACTCATATGACCCCCATTGGGTTTTAGAGACAGTAAATCTTCACAGAAGTAGATTACCCAGTCTTCCTTCCACAGAGTGGCTGATGGGTTTGAACCACCAGCCTTCTGGTTAGCAGTGAAATGTGTTAGATGCTACATCACCACCATGGTACAACTATCAATTTAAGGAGATATAACAATGATACAGTATTTAGATGAAATCTACTGTCTGTAATCCAGTTTGTCAGTTGACCCAAATGTGTCCTTTATAGCATTTAGTTATTTTGAAAGCTAATGAGCTTTCAATCTCAGCAGTTATATAGGAAAAGTTATTTATTTTTTGAAATACAAAAATCAGATTACCTGATAACTGATTTTGAAAAATCAAAAGTTAAAAATATTTCAAGATTCTTTATTCAATTGTCTTATTCACTCATACCAAATTCTTAGGCCTTTCTTTTCTTTTTAATATAAGAAAAAAAAATATACAGGTAATACATATTCATTATAAAAATTTTATAATAGATAAAAAATAAGAAATGAAAACCTGAAATCACATTATTCAGGGAAATCTCACTGTAAACGTTTAATGTATATATTTTTGTAGATATATCACATACATAAATTTTATGAAGATAGCCCATATTGCATATGGAAGCTGGTACCTAACAATTGTTTTAAGTTACCCTGAAATAAACTACTGAAAGAAAAGAAAGTGTTCTGTTAGAAAAAAATAAGGGTAAATCTTTGTACAGTAATTGTAGTTTCTATGGATGAGCGCAGTTGAGATAGAATTATAAATTGCCTATAATTCAATTTTCATGAGTGACTTTTTAGTGAGATAAACTAGATTACCTTGAGGCTTAATTAAATTTAGTGTAGCATACCTTGTTTTATGGCCTAAGATGGAGAGTTTACCATGTATATTTGAATATACATTCAAATAGAAATAGAATTTTTTTTTTTTTTCTTTTAATCAGTTTTCTGGGTTTCAGGGCTTTGTACCAAGCATAACTAGTACCTTCTGATGCTGAGGGCATTTTTCTTATATAAGCGTCATGAAATTTTTATTTTTTAATGAGATCTTTTTACACATAATTGCAATCTATCATTTTTTAAATAGAGCATAAATAAAATTAGAGCACTAGCTGATGTCTCATTTGTTATTCAATCTTCCTACAGTGTTTATTGAGCCACTGTTGGGAGTTTCTGTGCCAGAGCTGAACAGTACAGCAGTAAAAACAAACATGTATGTTCTTTTTCTCTACCACATGTGCTTGCTTGTGATTTTTAGATCCCACTCGATTCTCAATGTGTATACCTGGGCAGCTCTTTTTCCAAATGCTCTCAGGTGATTCTAATATGGAGGTAGAGAAAAACACAACAGAACTCTTGCAAACAGAATTAAAAAAACACATTTGGGTACATTATCATTTAAGTCCCAACACAGTCTGGTGAAGTAGGTATTTTTATCCTTACTCAAAAAGTGAGCCAGTAGAG